CAATCTCCATGCTCCAGGAAGTGGCATCGTCCCTGACCTCAAAGTAGTTTGAAAGGGAGATTCCTGGTAACATCAGCGGAAAATTTCGAAGCGACTGCAACGTTACGCAAACATAAATGCCTTGTGTGTCCTAACGCTCGAGTGAATCGTAACTTTGTGTAGAATTTTAGAAAGCAACGATTGTGAGGTTTTCGAATTTTGATCAATTCGGTGATCGTTATAATAACTCCATACCCATCACTACTACCGTCGTCATCGTTTCCCCCAACGATAATTCACAAGGAGTGCAAAAACGCCATTGTCATTATCGCCCAATAATACCAAAATTCTTAGTAACTTTATGTGTATCTCTTGTCTTTCGCTACTTTGTTCTTAACCGTTTTTACTTTTCCTCAGGGCGTGGAGTCGCCCCCCGGGTCACCATGGCCCCTGCCTCGTCAGTGGCGACACGACATTCGCCAAGTCACCATAGATCCCAGCTCCTTCACCATAACCGCCAACTTGAAAGGCTGTGACGTTATCGACGCAGCGGTTGAGAGGTAGGCCTATGCCGGAAGGGAATATATTAGTAGATATTAGTAGTTATAGTAGTGAAATGTTATATTGATAGATACTGAAATCGTAACTTAAGGAACTTGCAATAGATTTTCTTTCTTTCTTTCTTTCTTTCTTTCTTTCTTTCTTGTAGTCTTACTTGTTGAAATTGTGGATTTTGCACTGTGGAGGTTTTTCCCCCGTGTGTTGTATCCTTTAGTTTTGAGCATACAAGTTTATATACAACGTGTTTACTACACCATGTACCCTTTATGTCAAGTAGTGTATTATAGTTATAAAAAAAAAATAATTATATGAACACCCACGCTAGTCTGTGTACACTTACTAACATATCTAGCAGTTAAAAGAAATCTTACACCTAAGTATTATCACAACATATGTATCTTCCTCACAGGTATCATAGTCTGACCTTGATCGACCCAGCAGCCACGCCTGACCCAAGCCTGCCTGTGTTGCCCTCGCTGGTGGTGACGGTGGGCTCTGGCTGTGACCACACGCCGCACCTCAATCTCCAGCCGGATTATGAGTCTTGTAAGCTGCTACATGTTTTTAACTTGTACAGTGGAGGGTAGGGAGAGGGAGAGGGAGAGGGAGAAGGGGGTAGGGGGTAGGGAGAAAGGGGTAGGGAGAGGGAGAGGGGGTAGGGAGAGGGAGATGGGGGTAGGGAGAGGGAGAGGGGGGAAGGAGAGGGAGAGGGAGAGAAAAGAAAGAAGAGGGAGAGGGAGAGGAAAGAAAGAAGAGGGAGAAGGAGAAGGAGAGGGAGAAGGAGAAGGAGAAGGAGAGGGAGAGGGAGAGGGAGAGGGAGAGGGAGAAGGAGAAGGAGAGGGAGAGGGAGAGGGAGAGGGAGAGGGAGAGGGAGAGGGATAGGGAGAAGGATAGGGAGAGGGAGAGGGAGAGGGAGAGGGAGAGGGAGAGGGAGAGGGAGAAGGAGAAGGAGAAGGAGAAGGAGAAGGAGAAGGAGAAGGAGAAGGAGAAGGAGAGGAAGAGGAAGAGGAAGAGGAAGAGGAAGAGGAAGAGGAAGAGGAAGAGGAAGAGGAAGAGGAAGAGGAAGAGGAAGAGAGAGAGAGAGAGAGAGAGAGAGAGAGAGAGAGAGAGAGAGAGAGAGAGAGAGAGAGAGAGAGAGAGAGAGAGAAAGAAAATGACATGACGTATGAGGAATAGGAGAAAGTAGTGTAGGAGGGAGGGGGAGAAAGAGAGAAAGAAAGAAAGAAAAATAGACGTGGGAGTAGAAATTCTTATGTTAAGGTATAGCTTCTATTAAGTATTAGAGTTAAAAAAAACTTTAAGCGTGCTTGAAATTCCATGGTTTAGATTAAAAAAGACTTCTGACTAAAAAAAAGGCAAACAAAAAACAAACAATTAGGAAACTTAGAAACAAGGGAGAAGGAAAGGGAGAAACAGACAGACAAGTTGATAGAAATGAAATATTCTTTTCTTATTCTTTAAGACAAAAAGGAAAGAGATAGAACACAGATAAAGAGATCAGACACACTGATAATATAGAAGAAAAAGAGGCAGAATGACCCACAGTGAAAGAAAACGGAGGAGAAGAGAGAGATGTTACGATATCAGAGAAAGAATGATGCAAGGAACTGTGTGTTGCAAAAATGCACAGGAAAGGGTTTACAACGAAGGAAAACGATGGTGTTATTTTAGGAGGGATGTTTACTAAAGAGTGAAACGAAGGATGATGAGGGTGGGAGGTAAGGGGGGAAGGAAGAGGGAAAACGTTGGGAGAAAAGGAAGGTGTGGTCGAGGGAGAGGAATTGGGAGAGAAAGAGAGAGAGTCAGGCTAAGAGAAAGTGTGAGGAAGAGGATGAGAGAGGTGATGGCGTAATGAGAAAGAGATTACGCCATGAGAGAGAGGAGGGGGCAGACAGACAAACAGACAGACAGACATACAGAGATAGATAGAGAGAGAAGAAAGAAAGAAAGAAAAGAATTGGATAAAATGGAAAGAGAAGCATCCGGAGGAAGGGGAAGAAGCATGAGCATTTAAAAGGGAGATGAAGAGGGGGAAAAAGAGGCAGACGTTGGCAGAAAGGGAGGGAAGAGGAAAGGAGATTTGGATGAGATGGAGTGCTCGCCATCATAAGGAGGGAAAGACTAGCTGCTCCCCTAACAGGAGAATTTTATCGATTCTCATTTTTAACCTTAATAATTCCTTTTCTGTATTCCTTTAATTCTATCTAACACCCCCCCCCCCCTGTGTTGCAGATACTCTGGAGGTCTCTGGGCCGGGCGTGGGCGAGAGCGTGGGCGTGGAAGAGGGTCCGATCCAGGTAGTGGGCGAGGGGTCTGCCCGCCTTCAGGCCCCTACAGTGTGGGGCGCCTTGAGAGGACTCGAGACTTTCTCCCAGCTGGTCTTCATCACGGAGCAAAATAACCACGTAAGTCCTTTTGGTTCGCGTTCTCTTTACGTTTCGGATGGTTTTACTGAGAGTGGCATAGGTCTTTACCGTTGAGTCTGTTCTTAATTATTGTGTGTTTCTATTTACTGTTTTTTTTTTTTAAGTTTAAGCAATGCCTTTTCTGTTTTATTGTATATTTTAAATTTCTTATTTTCTTTCCATTCTATCATTACTTTTTCATTCTATCTTTGTTTCTTCCTCTTTTATCATCGTTCCTTTATGCCCCCCCCCCCCTTTGCCAACCTTACCATCCCTCGCTATCTATCCTAACATGACCTCCGCCCTCAGTACACACTCAACGAGACACTGATCGAGGACGGACCGAGGTTCCCCCACCGAGGCATCCTGCTGGACACTGCCAGACACTTCCTGCCGAAGAACACCATCCTGCAGGTAAGGCCATATATTGAGGGGGAGGGGAAGGGAAGGGGAGGAGAGGAGGGGGGGAGAGGGAAGAGTGGAGGGAGAAAAGGGGAGGAGAGGGGAAGAGGGAAGGGGTGAAGAAAGGAGAGGAGAGGGAAAGGGAAGGGGAGGAGAGGGGAAGGAGGGAAGAGGGAGGGAGAGAAGGGGAGGAGAGGGGAAGAGGGAAGGGGTGAAGAAAGGAGAGGAGAGGGAAAGGGAAGGGGAGGAGAGGAGGGGGGAGAGGGGAAGAGGGAAGGGGTGAAGAAAGGAGAGGAGAGGGAAAGGGAAGGGGAGGAGAGGGGAAGGAGGGAAGAGGGAGGGAGAGAAGGGGAGGAGAGGGGAAGAGGGAATGGGTGAAGAAAGGAGAGGAGAGGGAAAGGGAAGGGGAGGAGAGGAGGAGGGAAGAGGGAAGAAGGAAGAAGGAGGGAGAGAAGAAAAAAAAGGAGAGGGAAAGGAGGAAAGGGGAGGAGTGTGGAGAAAAAAGAGGGAGAGGGGAAGGGGGTAAAGATTTTTTAAGCTATTAATATCTACATTGTTCTTTCTCTCTCTTTTTTTTATCGATAGGTTGTTTTAGCATTCGATTGGCGTTTTCTTAATACTTAGCCATGATTCTTATATATACAGTATTCAATCCCTACCGAACGGGCTTCATGACAGTATACTATATGTCTTTTCTCAACAACTAGAAAGAACGAGAGAGAGAGATGAAAAGAGAGAGAAGGGGGGGGAGAGGGAAAGAAAGAAGAAAAAGAAAGAATGGGGAGAAGGAAAGGGAAAGAGAAAGGGACAGGAAAAGCGAGGGAGGGAGGGAGGGAGGGAGGGAAGGAGGGAGGGAGGGAAGGAGGGAGGGAAGGAGGGAGGGAGGGAAGGAGGGAGGGAAGGAGGGAGGGAGGGAGGGAGGGAGGGACGGAAGGAGGGAGGGAGGGAGGGAGGGAAGGAAGGAAGGAGGGAAGGAAGGAGGGAGGGAGGGAGGGAGGGAGGGAGGGAGAGAGGGAGGGAGAGAGGGAGGGAGAGAGGGAGGGAGGGAGAGAGGGAGGGAGAGAGGGAGGGAGAGAGGGAGGGAGAGAGGGAGGGAGAGAGAGAGAGAGAGAGAGAGAGAGAGAGAGAGAGAGAGAGAGAGAGAAAGAAAGAAAGAAAGAAAGAAAGAAAGAGAGAGAGAAAGAGAGAGAGCGAGAGAAAGAGAGTGTGTCTGTGTCTGTGTCTGTGTCTTTGTCTGTTTGTTTCGCATCGCTATAATGTTTCTAAACCGCAATATATTTCCCCTCAGGTGTTGGACTCCATGTCATGGAATAAGATGAACGTCTTGCACTGGCACATTGTAGACGATCAGAGTTTTCCTTACGAGTCCAAGATCTTCCCCAACCTCACACTTCACGTAAGTTCCTTTTCGTACATGTTTAGATAGAATATGAGGTAATGACAGGGGTAAGAAATTTCAACCAATAGAATTAGGTTTGAGTGTTTTGTCAAGGTTAGCGTCGTGAAAATAGTTGTGTATTTTTTTTTTTACCGAAGAAAATCACAAAAGTGCAAAATTAAGGAAAAACGTCCATCAATGTCGGTATGTCGCTTCATAATTATCAAAATGAATGTAGAAGATGACACCAATGATTTTTTTTTTTTTTTTTGATAACCGAGCACTCATTGAAGATAGAAATGCATTTGAGAAGCAGATATATTCCCTCCCACGAGAGACAAAGAAGCATATCCCAAAATACCCCCGGAGGCCAAGAAATTTACTCCAAAATACCCCCGGAGGCCAAGGAATATACCCCAAAATACCCCCGGAGGCCAAGGAATTTACCCCAAAATACCCCCGGAGGCCAAGGAATTTACCCCAAAATACCCCCGGAGGCCAAGGAATTTACCCCAAAATACCCCCGGAGGCCAAGGAATTTACCCCAAAATACCCCCGGAGGCCAAGAAATTTACCCCAAAATACCCCCGGAGGCCAAGAAATTTACCCCAAAATACCCCCGGAGGCCAAGAAATTTACCCCAAAATACCCCCGGAGGCCAAGAAATTTACCCCAAAATACCCCCGGAGGCCAGGAAATTTACCCCAAAATACCCCCGGAGGCCAAGGAATTTACCCCAAAATACCCCCGGAGGCCAGGAAATTTACCCCAAAATACCCCCGGAGGCCAAGGAATTTACCCCAAAATACCCCCGGAGGCCAAGGAATTTACCCCAAAATACCCCCGGAGGCCAAGGAATTTACCCCAAAATACCCCCGGAGGCCAAGGAATTTACCCCAAAATACCCCCGGAGGCCAAGAAATTTACCCCAAAATACCCCCGGAGGCCAAGGAATTTACCCCAAAATACCCCCGGAGGCCAAGAAATTTACCCCAAAATACCCCCGGAGGCCAAGAAATTTACCCCAAAATACCCCCGGAGGCCAAGAAATTTACCCCAAAATACCCCCGGAGGCCAAGAAATTTACCCCAAAATACCCCGGAGGCCAGGAAATTTACCCCCAAATACCTCCGGAGGCCAAGGAATTTACCCCAAAATACCCCCGGAGGCCAGGAAATTTACCCCAAAATACCCCCGGAGGCCAAGGAATTTACCCCAAAATACCCCCGGAGGCCAAGGAATTTACCCCAAAATACCCCCGGAGGCCAAGGAATTTACCCCAAAATACCCCCGGAGGCCAAGGAATTTACCCCAAAATACCCCCGGAGGCCAAGAAATTTACCCCAAAATACCCCCGGAGGCCAAGGAATTTACCCCAAAATACCCCCGGAGGCCAAGAAACTTACCCCAAAATACCCCGGGAGGCCAAGAAATTTACCCCAAAATACCCCCGGAGACGAAGAAATTTACCCCAAAATACCCCCCGAGACCAAGAAATCTAATCCCCTCTCTCTCTCTCTCTCTCTCCACTCAGGGCGCTTATACATCCCGCCATATATACACTCAGAAGGATGTGACGGACATCGTAGATTACGCCAGGTACCGTGGCATCAGAGTCATCCCTGAGTTCGATACCCCAGGACATACCCAGGGCTTCGGCAAGGCATTTTCGCGTAAGTACTGAGGAAGCCATTCGAACAGGTGGATGTAGGAGTGTGTTGCTTATATTTACAAGTGTTGTTGGGTATATTTACAGGGTTAAAGAAGCGAAGGGCATGATGAAGCTTTAAAGTTTTGTTTAGAGTAAATATGTGGTTAGCAAGTAGGTGATTTCTGATGAGTTCTTGAGAAAACTCATGTTAGATTTGCTGTATTTTGTAACGTATATGCTTTTTTGATGATGTTGCATTCCTGCAGTAAGGTTAGACTGTAATAAAGATATGAATATTGGAAAGGTTTGAATGAGAACGAGTAATTCTAGACTGCATTCATGTACCAATATCTTGATCAAATATCTATATTCTCAAAAATAATTAGTTATGTTTGGAGAAAGTGAGAAGAGTCACATCACGAAGATTTTAACAGATTCGTTAAGATATTTTCCTGGCATTCCGTGTTCTACAGATCTCTGTTTTCTCCAGATTTGTAACATAAAAAACTTTGGTTGGACAAAGAGAATATGTCATAGATATTGCTTCTCTGTCCAAAATTCCACCAGCAAGCAAGTAATTCCTACGTAAGAAAGTTTTATTAAATTAAGTAAGTTTATTTACTATCTGCTCAATCGTGGGTAATCATTGATTACAGTTTTACCTATATCTGACACAGTACAGTAGCCTGTGACTACTGTAATTGTACATAGTAATATAGAAATATGTCATACATCATACAAAAATAATACGTTGATACGCTTTGCCACTGTGTTTACATAACACTGTGTTTTTGTTTACGGCAGTTTATATAGTAAATTTAAGATATAATACGAGTATATCTTCCAATGTATCAGATGAAATGAAATATTCACTGATTTCTTTATACCTCATGTTAGGTGGTCTGAAAGGCTGTATCACATGACACTCCGAGATATAGTGCTCAAGAAAGTTTTATTTACGAAAACCTTTGGGTACGTTTTCCCGCAGATTTACTTACCCCGTGTTATGGTGACGGCCAGACATCGGGGACCTCCAACTACCCTCTCCACGCGGCCTACGAGAATTTCGACCCCACTAACCCACAGGTATTTTGAATACTTTTTATACTAGTAACAGTTCATATATATATATATATATATATATATATATATATATATATATATATATATATATATATATATATATAGAGAGAGAGAGAGAGAGAGAGAGAGAGAGAGGAGAGAGAGGAGAGAGAGAGAGAGAGAGAGAGAGAGAGAGAGAGAGAGAGACTGTATTGTTTATATGGTGGTGTGTGTAATTTTGAAATTGTAATATGAAATAAATTTCTCAATTTAGTGATGGATCCTCTCCATACAATTTGTGCAATTCTACAGTGGGTAACCTCACTTGCAGTATTCATTTCTTAATCATGTGACAAGAATTTTGAGATACTAACAAATTTAATTCAGATTAATATTTTACTGATATTGATCTTATTTATTTTCCAGGTTTATGAATTCGTCAAAGCTTTCCTGGTGGACCTGAAACACACGTTCGTAGACGGGTACATTCACTTGGGTCTCGACGAGGTAAAGTATTTCCTTGTTCTTCTGACACTTCGAGAAGTATCTTCAGAAATCAGCTGATCCGTGACCCAGAAATTTGCTAGTCAAGAAGGTCACGCATTTTTTTTTTAAATATATATATTCTGATTTTTATCTAATACATGACGGATTCTCTTGTGACAAATGGAAAAAGTATGAATGAGAATTGATAACTTCACAGTGCAAGGTATATGATATTACCTCTTCGCTAGTATATATTCATAGTTCTGTAAATATATTATATCGAAAGGTACATATTGGAACTGATTATTCCAGTCCACACTTTATTTCTACATATACCTAGACTATAAAGCAAATCGTGAGTCATTGAGAATATTTCCTACAATGTCGAATGCATCTCCTCCCACAGGTCTTCTTAGCCTGCTGGGCGAG